CCCCCCAATTTGGATAATTAAGTATTAAAGTGTTTCACTCTTCCCTCAGCCCTGGGAAAACAATTTTTAAATCCAAAATAAAGGCAGTATTTGGCGAGGAATGGAAGGAATCAGCAGGGGTTTCTTTTTCCCCAAAATCTTTTGTACCTGGGAGCTGTACTGTGTACTTGGCTTGAGGGAGGCTCCAGCAGTAGATCAGTTTTGGGGCAGAATATGTGAAATTGATGCTATATCCTTGGGTGCTTTGCTTGCTTGCAGCCAGTCCGCAGTGCAACTTGGTTTTCTACAGCACACAGACCTGGTCGGGGAGGTTGGTTGCTGATATCCCAATGTTCAACCCATGTTCTGGTGCTGTTTGTTAGGCTCGGAGCCCGCGTTAGAAAGGGCAGACCAAGCTCTGTATTTTGAAATGCAATTACAGTATTATTTTTTTAACCTGTTGTCAATGTCTGGTATTGTAAGATAATCTGCTTGAATGCCTGTAAAAGGTTTTATTCCACTGAGATTGGACTGGTGGCTTTTCACTGATCTTACACAGCCATGCTTGTGCCGAAAGCAATGGTACATTTGGATTTCTTTTTCTTTTTATGTGTTAATTTGGATGTTTGCTTGTTAGTGTGCTTGTTTAAAATGAATCTACTGCTTGATTAAAAAACACATCGTACTCGTAAACTGTTTCCCGTGGCTTGCTCACTCGTGAATGCTCGGTTTTGAATGTTTTTGGGGTGTGCTAAATGATCTTAATCTCTTGCTCTGGTTTTAGGAATGGATTTAACATAGGAAAAAAAAATCTTAAGTGGAAGACTTCTGTCTGTTTTAACTGAGCACTTTGAGAATTAGCTTGTGTTCAGATACAAATGGGTGTGAAATGTGAAAGTTGTCCTGAAATTTCATATATAACTAATTTGTGAAGATGCCATGTCTCTAAAAGAGGATGGGAGGCCTGGAAAGGGATTTTTTCCCTAAAACAGTTTCTGATCCCATGCTTTACCTTTCTGGCTAGAAGGGACAGTAGAGTATGCTGGAAGGAAGGTAGGATGTGGAAAAGCTCAAGGTCTGTAGATGGTGGTTTTAGGTGTTAGTGAGGACTGACTTTGGGTTTCTCCACCTTGAACTTTGAGGGATCGCAGTAATCTACGTCTTATTTATAAAGTAGGTAGATTTATTTATATTTTTTCCTATTTTTTAGAATATAATTCTGTAGAATATAATGTTTGGTGGGGAACGACCACTCAGAAGGATGCTTTCAGCCTTTCCCAACGTGGGGCGAGCTTCCCACATACTTTGCAGAAAGCAATCAAACGTGCAACTTTTCAGTGAGCCAGAAAAAAATAAATGGGGAGAGTTGTGTATTTTTACTCATTGTTTTAAACTTCTGTCCTCCTAGTGCTGAGAGCCTGAAAATCTTATTGATTGGGTCAGTTATTGTAGCAACTTAGCTGCATCGTTTTTGCCCCTATTAATATCAGTGGGAGAAATTCCCTTTCTTGTTAGCTGCAGGCAGGCTGGGCACCGAGGTGACAGCGTACATTCCCCTTCCCCAGGTTTCCGACAAGTAGATGCTTGTTTAAAATAAATATATAAAAATTTTAACTTTCTTTGCTCAAAGAAAGATGTAAATGAGTACGTGCTTCTTCCTCCCATCCATCTAAACCTTTGTATTTCACAGAGTGGTTAATTTAATGTTATTTTTTTTATTGTTAGTCTATGGACATGGTTTTCAGCTTATGAGGAATCTTTTGAGCTGTTTGCTGACTATGAATTTTAAGTGCAGAAAAGAAACCCATAAAAATTAATAAACTGACCTCTGGAACTTTTTAATGGGATCCTTTGAGTGGGGGAAGTAGGGTGCTACTAGCTAGTTTATAATAAATACTGCTAAAGACAGGCAATCGGAGGAAGGGGCCATAAATCACACGAGCAGGTGAGATGCTGCTGGCAACACTGCAGAAAACTGCTTTGTCCACAAATCCTCCCTTCAATTTAAAGGAAAACCAGACATTGTTTATTTGTCCTTAACATAAGCATCAGTGTAATTTTGCTTCGGATCCATCTTGATGGGAAGGGAAGCAAAAGCAATTTGGTTTTTGGTTGGGTTTTTTTTTCGGTAAATGCTACTTCAGCCTGGTATCCCGTAAGCATAAATAGCAGTTATCTTGCATGAAATGAATGCCATTAGCATGTCGTCTGCTGTTAGTGATTTGTCTCTTATTAAATTCCTGATGCTCTCCAGGTGATAAAGGCAGAAGTACTGGGAAGAATTTTATTTGATCAATAGAGCTGAACTTATTTTTCCCTGGAAACTGTATTTTTTTGGTGATCTATATGCTTATTTTTCTCTCTTTCTTGTGGTTTCCGAGCCAGATACGGGTTAAATTTTCATCTAAATTATTAGCTGAACTCATCCCCACTCTGCAGTCACATACAATGGTGAGTTCTCTCAAAATAAGACCTGAGGTGGATGAGAGACGTCAGCTGCAGACAGTGGGTCTGACCCGGCGAGGCTCCATGCTAACTCTTGCTGGGATGTCTACTCAGGCTTCTTAGCGGCACCCAGTCAAAGCAACAACCCAGTTGCTTCAAAACTCTCTTGCTCTTTGCAAGTCTAACCGTTCAACTTGATGTTATCTTTTGCCTGCTTATTTTATTGTCGGTTAACCAGTTTTCTTTCCTTTATCTTGTATATGATGGGACCTCCGCTAGACAGAGGTAACGGTGGGGGACAGTTGTGTAGCTGGACCCTCGTGTGGTGGTGTTTGTCAGTGGTTTTTCTTAAAACCATTCCTAAATTCAGCCTTGCTTTCACCATGCTTCTGTGCTTGCATGACCTGGTTTCTGTGGAATAACCCCATCCATCCTTTATATTAATTTCATTTTCCTCCATGTGTGCGTGTGCCTCCTCCTGCTATGTTCTTAAAATGGGTCACCAGTGTGGATTTCTTAACAGTTTTGTGGATCCTTTTCAGTCTTTGAAGCTTCAGCGGATCAAAGGGACTTGGATTTTAAGCTTAGTAAGGGAGATGAGCTGATAAAACACATTTGCTGTTAAAACAAGGTGTTGAAAAAAGAACTGGAGCAAGAGAGAGAGACCGAGGTTGGTATCGGTCCTGGTCCTCCTAGTGATCTTGCTAAACACGCTCCTGAATTGTGTGCTTACCGTAACTACACAGTTTTGATAACTTTGATCGTACTTTATATTCATGTGAAATAGTTCTTTCTTGGCTACTGCTACAATAGAGTATAACTAAAATGCTATCAGTGAAATGTAAGAATTTCCTTTTTGAATCCTCTATTAAAAAAAAAAATCCGATTTTCATACCACTAATCTCTCAAATTCAGGCAATATTAAGCAAAACGGACATAGCTTTATTTATCTGTATTTCAGTTAGGTTAAACTAACTAATTATTGTTGTGCAATTCCTTACCCCTGATTTGAGGTGGGGAAGCACTGACCTTTGCAGAGCATTTCTGACAGATTTGAAGGCTGGAAAAGGTCCGCTGAATAGGAGTGGAGGTAGTATGGGTGTGTGTTCATGGAATGGCTTGTTGGTGGTAAGGATACAAATAAAGCCTTCCGTGGCTCCATTTAATCGATTGCTTTATTTTCTCTTTTTGGATTGTGGGTCGGATGGATAAATAGAAATTATCCCAGGAGCGAGAGAAGTTTGCCGATGAAGACAGCATATTTTACGCGCTTGGAGAATGTGGACTCATTTCTTTTTCTGACTACATCTTCCTCACGACGGTCCTTTCCAGTAAGTACAGGGTGGGTTTTTTTCTCTGCAATTACTGCTTTTTTATATTTTGAAGGTTTACAAGCCATGAGTTTGCTATTGTTGTCTATATACATTTCCCTGCAAAGAATTCTTGATTGCTTGAAACTTGAGTTTCAAGTGGATAATTGCTATTACTTCATCTGGTTTAGTCTTAACTTGTAGTGGTTCAGAAAGATAAGCAGATCGATGACTTCTGCAGACCTATTTTAAAATAGGTGGCAAATTTTTTTTGAATGAGTCGTTTGACCTGCTGTTCAAAACTGTAAATGGAGATGTGTTCTTGAGTTGCGTTCATCATGCGATGTTCTTGTTGTTCAGATGAATATTGCTTTCCAGCTCATCAACGGTTACTAGACTGTACAACCTCTCTCCTGCAGCTGTATTTTCCCTTGGGTAAGCTCAGGCTTCTGCATGATGTAATTCAATGAGGAGAGAAGTTACGCTGTTTACATTTCAACAAGTATCATTAGATACCTTCTGTCTTTTCACGCTGCTGCACTTGACTTGCATTAGTGATATTTCTCTTATCTGCTAATCTGTCCGAGCAAAGTCTTCTGCACTTGAAGTGCTGGCACTGAAAAGTTGATTTTGTTGGCAAGAAACAGGGAAACTGAAGCCTTTGGCAGTGTCAAATGGTGTTTCTAGCCTTCCTTCACGGGAAAAGCAAACTCAACCTCATTTGCAGAGCTTCGCTAGCCCCTTGGGAGGTGCTGCATTGCAAACAGGAAAGTCAACAGAAATTTCAGTTATTTTTCAGACCCATTAGAAAATGTAGGGTAATGGGGAATATGCTGCTGTCCAAATGAACTCGAGACATTTCAATTTCAGGCTTTAAAAAAAAGAAAAAGAGAAGACTTGGCCATCTAATCTTGTATCTGTTTCATGATGACCTGATTACAGGAATGAAGAAGGTGGACACTTCCTGATTTAGTCTACACTCCCATTGTTACCTGCTCTATGCTGTTCAGGGAGTCAGCTGGGTAATTTTGTAAAAAGCTGGATGTTTTGTAAAAGCAACAGATGCTTCATTTTTTTTCCCCATGTTCTTGCATGCTGTAACAGGGACAAATGAAAGAGGCAGCTCTTCATTTACTGAACATGGCACTTTGCTTCTCCCCGGTAATAGGTCCTCCAATGTTCAAGGTCTTGTTTCTTGTCAAAGGGACATGATGGGCAACGTGACCTTCATGTTGTGAAAACAAACACTGAGAGATAAAGCTAGTTCAATCCAGGGAATTTGTTTTACGATTTCAATCTGCTTTTTTGTTTGAACTGAGCCTCAGAACTGACTCTTAAGACTTTTGCCGTTCCTTTCTTATGTTAGCCTAGCCCGTGCCGAAATTATCTGAGGTATTTTCACTTGTGTAGCAAGGGCTTTTAATCTGAGTCTCTGCAGATGACGACGAACTCACAAACCTGTCGTATCGCATTACTGAATGTGGTTTAGAAAACACTCGTGCCCTTGGCTTTATGTCTGTGCTGGTGGTGAGTGACCCCCTAATTAAGTACACAGGGCACAAAATTAATTTCATGTGCTTCCACAGGCGGCAGCAAGAGAAATTTGTTCTTGCTTTGCTTTAATTTCTTTGTTGTGAGAATAAAAGGGACCATGTTGTGTTAGAGTAGCAGCCAGCATTATTTTGGAGAGCTATGCGGGAGGGACGGGGGTTTTTTTCCTCTGGTTTTTGGGCTTTTAAATGTGTTCGCAGTTACTGGGGAATCAGACTAACAAGAGGAGACAGAATTGAGTGGTGTGTGCTTTGAGGAGTGATGTGAAGGGTGGGCAAGGAAGGAGCTTCCAGAAAGAGGGAGGGGGGAGAAAAAGGTAGGGGGGAGTGTTCCAGGACTTTTAGGCTGATTTTTAGGTATTTTGAGAGTTTGCTGAATGGACATTGAAGATGGAGGAATGCCTCTGGAGCTGCTGTCAAACGGTGATTCCCCAGAAGAAGAGTTTTGGTTTCATTTTGAAAGCATTTGATTTTATAAAAATAAAACTCCCAAACAAACCTTGCCCTGTGGCTAGATAGAACGCTGACTGTTATGCCATGCTGGTTTACTCTCCTACTAGTGAGCATAACCTTGCAGGAATCCAGTAGGTCCTGATTATTTTTTCTCCCTGGGAAATAAATAAAATAGAATGAGGAAAGCATGTCTTAAACCTGACAGTTCAATATTGGTTTTCCCATTGTGGTGTTTAAATAACCCAAACATTAAGCATGTATCCGGACAAGAGAGCTGTAGGTTACATCAAATAGCTAAAAGCCACTAAATATTGAGAAAGGAAGGTGCAGTATTGAGCACTAGGGCAGGATAATCAGAAGGGGAGTCTGAGATTGGCTCTGGGGTGGGAGGCAGGAGGGAGAGATGTTCCTCTGCTGTGCTCAAGTGATGGGAAGACATCAATCGTAGTCTGGTCTGGCTTATCGAACTCAAAACTGATCAATGATAAACAAGAATCCCAACGGGCTTTGTGTGATTGTGCTCCTCAGGAGGGTCGTGCCCAGCAAGTCTGCTGAGATGGCTCCTGCCCATCTGCCAAACTGTGAGAGTGCTTTCCCAAAGCATTTAATTTAATTTGTCTTTGCAGCTTCAGCTGAAGCTCACTTCAGTTGTGTTGTCCGAAAGACGGGCTGTGTGGCAGCTGCTGGGGAGGGAAAGGAGGAGAGAGGGCTGGAGGCTTCATCTGTACGTTGCTCGCAGAGAGCTGTTTGCATATTGCACGGAAAATGGTGTCTGTCACCGTATTTTATTTACAAGTGATATCTCACTGTAGCATTGTCTGTTCTCATCGGTTGCCGCATGAAAATGTGTTGTAAAAACAAATAATAAAATAGCATTTAATTGCTTCAGAAAGTCAGCCTTCTATTAAAGGTAATGAGAACTGAGTGCTCTTGAGGATACCCCATGGTTCTGGTTGCTTCAGCCCTGCTCCCTGTGGTAGAAAGATGAGCAAAATACAGAATAAGCAAAATACTGGTGGGATTTCCCCTGGGTCCTTCAAATGTCATAGGAAAGCAAAGACATCGCTTGCCTAACCAAAGAGATTTTTGCTTTTGGACTTACAGCACAGATGAGGGAAGGAGAGAAAGAGCTTTTCCATCATCAACGATTGCAATTTCGGAGCAAAGGTGGTCCCTTGTCCAGGCACGCTAATGCCTACTTGATTAACAGGTACTGAAGGAAGCTGGGCATTAAAAGAATAAGTTGGTGTTGTTTCCGTAATTGGACTGTCACTGTGTCTGGATTTACGCCTCCTGGAAGAAGGGTTAAATAGCATTGGCTCCAGCCAAAGTAATTACTCCCTTGCCAGGGCTCTTGTAGCAGACCCACAGCTCCTTCTCCCGTGTCCAGCTGGTTCTTTCCAGAGCATGGCATTCTGCCATCCCCGATGGGTGCTGGTCTGCAAGAGGCCTCTTGCTGTCCTGGTTTAACACGGCCCGCAGCTAAAAGAACCACACAGCCGTTCGCTCACTCCCCCTGCAGTCCGATGGGAGAGAGAATTGAAAAGAAAAAGGTAAAACTCGTGGTTCAAGATAGAGACAGTTTAATAGGACAGAGAAGGAAGAGAATAATAATAATGATAAAAGAATGTACAAAACCAGTGATGCGCAGCACAGTTGCACACCACTAAGTGCCATAGGGCTTGTTCCTACAAGAAAAGGAGATACAAGGTTGCTTTGAGTTTATAGAAATATTTCTGTTTGTGGTCCTGTTCATGTTAATTTTATCTTTAAACTTTCAAGACCCTCTGTTTACCTACATGCATATACATGGCTCTGTCCCATCCACACTATATGATGCAGGGATGTCTTCAATACCTTTCTGCCAGCCCAGTCATTGCTGTGGAGGATTTCCAAGATGTGTCTGAGCAGCACAGATATCCTCTCCCAAGGGATGTCCCAACTTCCGAACGTAAGCCTGGTTGCTTCATGTCAGACCAAGGGCTCTGTGGCTCAGCATCCTGCTTCTGCCATGGGCTGGTAGCTGTGCTGAAGGACAGAAGCGGGATGGATTTCTCACAATTGGCAGTTTGGGATCAGATCCCAGGCAGATCCCTTGCGTTTGCATGGTGTGATGGGCTGATTGATCTCCACCAACCTCCTGTATCACAGAGGATAGTGAATTTGCAGCAAGGAAGGTCTACTCGGCATGCAGTGCTTGTTAGCCTGATTGAGAACTTTCAGAAACGTACTCATGCTTATTTCTATAGAATTAGGAAATAGAGTAATTTTGCATCGCTCATAGCACTATCCCAGAACCTGCAGATGTTTGGGGTGTCCTCTTTCTCCAGGGGTTCCAGCTTCTAATGGCCTTTGTCTGGAGCTGCCATTTCCACAGCTTATTTCCAGGTCCTTATTTCAGAGAGACATTTAAGAGGGAATCTTGATTTCTAGCAATGCTCTGAGAGTCATGTGGTAGCTGATGAGAAGTTGTTGAAAGGTATGTCTTGTACTCCAGCCGAGGAGCTGTCATGTTCTCTGAAACATCTGAAACTGAGATGCACGTTTGTTGTTGATATTAAAACCAAAATACAAAATTTGGGATCAAAATTACACAGTCTCTTTAACAAGCAAAATATAAAAGTGAATCAGCAATATTTTTTTTCTTCAATGGATTTATTTTTTTTAATTGATTAAATAGAAGAAAGGTTAAAAGTGGGGTCACCTGGGACATGGTACTCAGGTAGGCCTTGGATCCACATGCCTGGGTTCAGGCATGTGAACCTCCAGTGTAGATTTAGAGTGAGGAGCTCACAAAAACCTCATTTCGCTTGGTCTAGGTTGTTTAGGGCTTTTCTTAGTATTAGTAGTGGTGGTATTTTTACTTTGTGTGATGGCAGGTTCCTTATCGGCCACTTCCTACCCCTTTCCCTGCGTGCGGAGCTGCACCGGTGAGCCGGACGTGATGGTCCAGCCAACATGATCTGGCTCGTGCTGTTAGGAAATAACACCTACCCCAAGCACATGCAGTAACAGAAATAAGGTGTACTTCTACCAGGTATGAAAAGACCTGTTTTCCCCATATTTATTGCAGCTGGGGCTCAGCCATCTATATTCTGTGGATGGTTGCTTCCCTATAAGGCTGTAGCTCTGTTCTCAAAAAAATATTACAGGATTTGGAGATGCCTTACATGAAAGTGCATCATTTAGCTCTTACCTATTGCCGGTGCAGTCACTTACAATAAACCAGATACCAGTGCTGGGCTGTTGGCTGCGGTCCTGTAAGTGTGAGCTCATCTATGACCCCAATTCTTTCCTTCAAACAGAAGTGTTCCAATTCCAACATGTACAGGAAAAAATTCTCAGCTAAAATACCTCTGTGCAGAGTCAGAATAATGACCATGCTGATTCATG